TTGAAGGTCTTATGTTTTTTCTTGCTAAGGAGTTTTCCTGCTGTGTCAAATGTCTTGCTATGAATTCATTTCCAGATGGTTAGTACTTTCCATAGTATATTACTGCTGTCTTATTTTGCTAAGTTTTCCCTGTTATGCCATAAAACTGCTGCTGTCTCTGATATGCAGGCAAGATTTGTTAATGTTTAAGTTAACTATCATTCAATGTTAGGCAAATGCCTCAAGTATTTTTTTTAATTAATGGCAAAATAACCGTGGATTTATTGTGAAAATTACACTTATGAGGAATCTCTGGCTACTGTATGTCAGGGCATTGCTTTATAAGGAATATAGGAAATGGTCTGACTTGTTATCTTTGCTTCTGTATTTAGTGCTTGGACTCCGGGGAATTTATGTGCACTGATTTGTCATAACTATAAAGTATTTCTTAAGAATGAATTACTGGATAATATGTTCTGTGCTTGTTTAGTACTCGAACAAATTGTATATAGAGTGTTAAAAGCCTTGGGTTTTTTGAAAAGAAAATTGTTGTGCAACTCATCTTAAGTAGAGAAGAATGTTAACATGTACATGAGCAGATGGTGAGATTACCTCTGCTTAAGGTAACAGGATTTATCTCATCCCTTGCTCATTAAGATAGGAAACTAATTAATTTTTTGGGAGTCTTTGTCCTGGTAGAGATGTAGTATCCTGTATTGATCCTGAAGTTTCTTACCAAATACCTATGAATTCCTCAGAAAAAAGATCTTCAGCGTTCAGTTTTATGTATTTGCTAGATTAGTGCATACGTAAATATATTTTTTTTTATGTAAGCCTCTGTTACTGAAAATCTGGTTTGAAATTGATTTTCATACCATGTAGAGGCTTTGATCTGAAGAAGATCGTCAGACATCTTGCTGGTTCTTGAGATTATTAATAGAGTTTTGTTGCTGTATTGTTTTTTCTAAAGAGCATTTTACTCCTTTGAAATAATTAATAATGAGAAATACCTAATTAAATAAAATTACATCGCAATACAGGAGTATTTGACTGAGGAAATTAACTTTAGACTCTAAACACATTTATTCAAAATTGCCACCAAGGAAGTATTGCTCTTAGGGAAACTCTGCTAGTTTGAGGCCAGAGAAGGAGGCCTGCAGATTCATATCTGACAGAATACTTAAAGAAAATATTGCTTCAAGTGAACTAAGCTGCACTGCAAGAGACAGATTACCTGTCATCAAGGCTGTAGGTAAATTGTGTGGTTGAGATTTTTAGAACTGCTTTTAAACAAATCTTGAAGCTACTAGGGCAGTGAAAGTGTGAATGTGTCCATTTAATTTCAAATTTAGGGGAGAAATAAGCGTTGTAGGAAATTATTTTATCACTTTCAAATTTCTGTTATCTCTCCAAGCTGCTTCTAGTTTTCCTTTTTTTTCCCTAAAAAAAAAAAAAGGAAATAATTTGACCCATCCTTTAAGTGTTTGGAAAGTGAGTTGTGCTCTTGAAGGCGAACAGATTGACAGTTGGAAACTGATGATTACTGTTACTTAAAATAGTGTACAGCAGTTGAGATGAGAACAATCCTGACTGTATAAGGATTACTTCTCGGTCTTTCGATGACTTTCAGTTGTTGCAAACTTCTCGTGAATTCCTACGGTACGGTAAGTAATGGTTTGGGTATCTGTTTTTCCTGTTTCTGGGATCTGAATTGAAACATTCTTCTGAGTGTTTGAGAGGAGTTCCCTGCTGATGGATGGTCCAAATGGAATTTGCCTTTCTGTTTGTAAAACTTGAAGTTTTACAACTGCTCCCTCTCTGCCTTTGAACTTAGTTGGCTACAAAGTCAGAAGCTCAAAGCAAATCTAAACTTCTTACGTGCGAACTGCTGTGTAGTCAGCATTTAAAAGAAGGCCTGTCTTTATTTTAATCACACTTATGCCTAGGGAGCTTTTCTTCTGCTGTTTTATCATGTGAATTTGCTGTTTAAAACTGGCATGCGGGATAAAGTTTTGCTAAAACTATTACAACTTTATCAGATTTTTTTAAAATCAGTTTTATACTTCAGACTGTTTGAAAACTGCAGTAAAATTGTAAAATTTGACAGAAATTTATACAAATTTGATTTTAGAATCTCCTCAAGCACAGGACTGAAATACAGCAGTCAAATTAAGTGTATGTATGCTGATGAGACTGTCTTGCAAAAATTAAAATTCAACTTTTCAGATAACCACTAATAATAATCTTCTTCTGTCCTGAATACTAGAAGTCACTGGATTTGTCAGTGAAAGTGTGCAATCGTACACTGACAAAAATGCAGCACTGTATGTGAAATTGTAAAATAAACAATTATTTAGTGATTGGGATTATCTAGGTGTTATGAATGAATGTGTTGCAGTAGCTGTCTACCATGGTTGAGCTCTCAGGAATGTATGTTTATCTGCAGTTGTGACTTTGTGGAACAGAGACTTCTTGCGAGTAGGAGACTGCTTGATGAGCATGGAGATCAAAGCTGTCAATTTCAGCAGAAAAAGAAGGTTTTCTCCTTCTGTAAGGAGCCAGAGTTGTTATATATAGTTACTTTGAAGACCACATAATATTTTTTCCTTGAGAAAAATCATTCTGCTGTAGTTATCAAGCAGCACCAGAGTGCATTGATAATCTTCCTCAAAGCTGTAGCCCAAACAGTTCTGAATAGTCTCAGAAAGTATGATCCCATTTTAGTTTTTTGAATAAAATTCAGGAAAGAAATCCTGCTGCTGTATAGAATCCTTAGGCAACAGCGAGACTCCGAAAACTGCACTTATGTCATGCTGCTCCTTCTTGGAAAAGATGAGTAGGAATTATTGAGAGGACTTCCTATGTCAGAGTATTCTTTCATCTGAAAATTTGACATAGCAATTTTAACCAGTCATAAATTAATAAAGAGATTAAAGCCTCCTTGGATATCTAGGCAGTCTGAGCAGCTGGTGTAAAGTCTATTAGACCTCTTGTTAGGATGTCGTCTGTGGCTAGTAGGCTTAGATCATCTACAAAACGTTCAGTACATCTTTAGGAGAAGGCTTAGAATGACTGTCGTGCTCACAGGAGGTAGGTGAATAACCAAATGTCACTGAAGGCCACTGTGGTGCTGTTAAGTGAGACCAGAGACCTGCACTGGCTATAAAGGAATGCAGCAAAAAAGTTTGAGGTTTGTTTTTTTTATCAATTCCCCAATCGTGTTCAACACTCAGCTGTGCAAATAGGCAGTAGATAGGACAGGACTTCTTTTTAATGGCAATAGTTGTGGCTTTAATGAATGTCAAACCCTGCAGCTTAATCTATTGCATGGAAGAGGATCTGGTGTCTGCTTTTTTTCAACACTGCAGCTGTGTTGAATATCATTATCTCATGGAATGGATACATACTACTGACCTCCAAAGCTCCTACATAAGACTTTATTAGCCCAGGACTTTAGTTGTATGGTTTTCAGAGCTGTGTAAGTTCAGTCTTTCTGAAGACAATCGCTTTCATTTAAATCTTGTCTTGGTTTCTCTAACATCAGTTGTGGTTTAATCTTGCTTTGTGAAGGGTTTTACCTGAATTTATGTTTTCAGACTTAGCTGAAATGTATAGAACCTCTTATAAAGATGTCTGACCTTCACAATATAAGCTGCTGAAATGAAGTAGATAAATCAATCTTGACCAGAGTCAAAAAAAAATTTAAAGAATCTGTTAGAAATCCGTTAAGAATCTTGCTGTTAGTGGCAGGTCCACAGAAGTACAGTCAGTTTGTTTAAAAGCATGTATCTCTGGTCTGATTCAAGGAAAAAAAGAAAACCTTAAGCCTCTAATGGGTGTGAATAGCAAGGGAGCATAGAGTTTTGCGTTATCTACATTTGCTGTAGAGAACTCTTAATTTGTAGATTGTTGCATGACGTAAATCCATGATGATTTACATCTAAAGGGCTGATCTAGTTCAGAGAAACTGTGTTTTAATGAGGACTGCTGTTTATGTAACTCTCCCAGCAGAAACTCATTATTCATGATTTTTATCTTGCTACTTGGTATGCATACTAGCTGTTGCTGGAAGACACTTAATTCCCTGGACTCAACTGTAACCTATCTGTGTGTAAAAGCTGTAGAATAAAGTAGAAATAATATTGAAAAATAACATAGTTCTCGTGGTAATCTCTTGTAAGACAATTTTAATAGAGAGGCATAGATATCGTGGTGAATATGGGACGTTATGTAATAGTACTGAGCACAAGATTGGAATTGGAGAATTATAAGATGTCCTTTTCTTGGTGATGGCCTTAAGCAGAAGTGACCTTTCAGAGTTTCCTCCCTTACCTAGTAGTGAATGACCCTTCCTTTAAGGGGCTGATAAAGGGATTACTTAATGAGCAGTTGCACTTAAATAGCTTATTTTGCTTGTCCAAGAAATAGCATTTCATAAGCATTATTTCTCTTGTTAAGAGTGTAAAGTACAATGTTTGCAAAGGAAAGGAGGTCCTTCAGCATCACTATGACCATCATAATCATGGTATAGCAGTTTGATATGCCTGTTGTTTTTGTAATATATTGAAGTAAAGTGGAAGTCCTCTTGATAATGTGCTTTATCAATGCTAGATATTTGTATAGTCTTTACAATGATTTCTGCTTCTGAGATTGAACCTCACTGTGCAGAATTGCTCAAATCTGAAAACAGGTACTTGAATGTAGCTTTTCTGTGTCTTACGTTTAGTGGAGGAAAAAAAAACAAGTTCTGACACTACCTACTGGTAAGTACTAGTAAGAAAAGTAAATGAGTCTCTCAAAATTCAAAGGCTGTGAATTTAATTGTGTGACTTCTCTTTTCAAGAAGACACCCCGCCCCCCTCCCACCCCCCAAAAAAAAGAAAACCAATCTCTTTAAAATTTTAGTGTCCTGGATTTCTGAAGGACATGTGCAACCTTGTCAATTGGTGATTGTATGGCTTAGTAGTTCTCCATGTATGATTTCTTTTATGTGTTTCTAATGTTTTATTTCCTTTCCAGATCTGCTAAATCTATTCCGAAGCTGAGGGCAGACAACCAGTACAAGGGAAGTGTGGCTTCTTTAAATGGACATCTGTTCTTGCGGTATGGCCCAGATATCCAGTAGCAATGGATTTAAACAGCGCTCATCACCTTCTTTGGCAGCAGCAAGGTCAAAAGATGTGGACAAGGAGGAGGCGTTGCAGATGGAAGCTGAGGCATTAGCTAAGATGCAGAAAGAAAGAGGTGTAGCTGGTAATAAACAAACTTTTCATTCTTTAAGCAGCACCAGACAAAACGCACAGACTCATAACAAACAGGACCATGATCTCATGGTGTTTCCAGAGTCTGATACCAAAAGCATGGAAGATAAACTAAGTACCATTGACATAGAGAAGCTTACTCACGCTGAACTAGAGAAACTGCTGCTGGATGACAGTTTTGAATCTAGTAAAGTACCTACGTTACCAGTAAGTCCTGTTTTGAGCTCATCTGTGTCTTCACAATTTTATCTTGGGCCTACGGGTCAGAGGAGACAGTGGGCACCTGGGATACCAGCACCTGTGACATGCACTTTACCTACTATTTACCCCTCAGCTTCTTACACAAAACAGACTGGTGTATTTCAGAATGGATTCCACCCAAGTATGTCCTCCTATCGCTCTAGAGAACCTATTTATCTTGGTCTTCCAAGACAGTCGCAATACATTTCATACCCATTGGCAGCTACTACACCTTTCCATCCACAAGGAAGCCTACCTATGTATCGTCCAGTACTTACACCAGAAATGGCAAAAGTGTTTGACAAAATTGCAAGCACCTCGGAATTTCTGAAAAATGGGAAGTCAAGCACGGACTTAGAAATGACTGCTATAAAGTCTGCAGTTTCTAACCTACCAGCCTCAGAAAGCTGCAGGGATGTTAGTAAATTTGATTGGTTGGATTTGGATCCCCTAAGTAAACCAAAAGTGGATACTGTGGAGACGTTAAATACAGCAGAGAATGATGGAGAGAGGGCTTCAAGTATGACTGCTGAAGATCCATGGGATGCTGTGCTGTTAGAAGAAAAGTTGTTAGTAACTTGTCATCTGGAAAGAAAAGTTAATGGGAAATCTTCTGGAGCAACAGTTACAAGGAGCCAGTCCTTAAACATGCGAACAACTCAACTTTCAAAGTTGCAAGGCCAAACATCACAGGTTTGTAAATTAATATTTTTAAATTGCAGTATAATAGTAAAGATTAATCACAGTATTTTAAGGACACTTTAAGGCCTGGATTTGTTAGTTAAATATTACTTGGCTTGAGCAGTTTCCCAATAATGTGATGTTACTGGTGTATATATGTATTGGTGATATTCAGAAAATTGAACATTACTACTGAACTAAATCCCAGAATAACTCTGACCTTGTGTAATCTTACCACATTTACTGAGGAAACTGCTGTCTTTCAACACACGACTAAAAGAAATGGAAATAATACTTACAACAGTTAAGTATTTAAATCACATTGATAAATATTTAATGAGCAGTTCACATGATACTACGAAATAAAAAGATGATGAGTTAGACATTGAAAGCTTTATCTTGAGCAGCTTTTATCTTGGATTTTGAAAAAAAAAATTTTACCTTATAGTTGAACCTGTCAGCTTTTTTTAAATGTAAAACGTAGAATAAAACAGCAGCATAGTCAAAACTCTCTTCTGCTCTCCCAGTATCACTTGCAGTCTTTCAATATAGGACCACTATAATTCTCTTTCGTAGGCAGCAATCTTTCCTTCTGTGGAGGAATGCTAGGGAGATCTTAACCAGGTTATACTGTCCTGGAAAGTAGAATGGCTAAGTCAGAAACTCTGTACTTCTGTACTGGAAGAAGGAAAACCATCTTTGTGTGGTTACGTTTATCAGACAGAGCAAAAGGGTGATTTCTGCTTTAGGATCAGGATTACTTTCATAAGAATTTCAAGACAAAAATGTCAACAGAGGCTTTACTTGACACTCATCGTCTTGAACATTGAATGCACGTAGTTTGTATCAAACTAAACTGTACAGCAGATGATCAATACTGTAGCAATCTCATTTGGTTAATTATGCCCCTGTAAGTGCATCCTGCCCTTTTCCAAGTCCAGTAAATGACTGTAGATTATTCAAGCTTTCCTATCTTTTAAATTAAATTTTGTAGTAATTCCATTATTAAAAAAAAAAAAAAAATAAATATTAGTCATCTCCTAGAAAGCGAATAAGAATACTTCTGTATTTTTATTTTTTGGTAGAGTGCAAAAGCTGAAGGAGAAGTCTTCAGTGGAAAAGTCAACATCCTGGCAATAGTGATAATGGCAGGAAAAATTGTATTTGTAGAAACTGGCTAGAGGGAGGGGAGTAAAAGCTTTATTTGCCTTGGAGACTTTGATTTCAGCTGTTTTAAATCTTTGTCTTATTGTCTTTCTAGGTGTTTTTAATAGACTAGGGACATGCCGTAAAAAACCAGCTGTTATCAGTCAAGGATATTTTCCAAATTGCTCCTTAATTCTTCCCTCCTCCCCCAGCTGAGGAGTTTTTTTTTTTCTCAGAAAAAGAAAGATTTACTAGACTTTGGCTTAAAGGACTGTCTGAATTTCCATTGAAGTGAAATTTTTGGCCCTTCATTGAAGGATTTCCTGTTTTTCTGGGCTAGTTGTCAGTATTCTGGCAAAAGTTTAGTAGAAGGACTGAAAAAAACCTAAACCCAAAAAAACCCTTTACCTCTGTTTTCAAGGGATCACGTTTTTAACGTTACATGTGTGAAGATCTTGGGTCTAACTTAATTTCTTTTTTTTTTTCCACTCATGTAAATTTGGGCTTTTCAGCAGATTGCTTCTTCAGTTTGTCATGTTATCTAGTGATGTGTTTGTCAGTTTTCCAGTGGTGTTTGGTTGGCTGTAATGTAAGTTTTGACTGGAATAGTAGGCTGTATTGGGTCAGTGCTTCTGAGAAGTTGTCTGCAGAAAGTCATATTTGACTGTTGCTGAATGAAATACGTTTTTATAAATTCCTGATGTGTTTGGGTTTTTTTTCAAGAATGTAGGATTTAAAAAGGTCTTTCCTGTTCATCAAGTCCAATCCTATGCTATTTGTGGATCACATGTTAACTGGTTCATAAAATGCTAAAGCTCCCCTTTTACATGTGGTCTTTTCCTCCTGCTACTTTTGATTCAAAGACTCTTCCAGACCCTCACTGTCCTCATCAGTCATCTGATTTTTAAGCAGAAATGCATTCGTAACTAGTTTTTAGCAAATACTCTTATCATCAGGATGGAACAGCAGGTATTTAAGATAAAGAACCATTTTGATGTTTACCTGAACATGTTACAAGAGACAGTGACTTTCCATCAGCTTTCATTGCAAGCTCTGTGTGATAACTTCTCTTTCCTGTCACTTTGGAAAAAAAAAAAAAAAAAAGATGGCTTATGAGAATTTTAGCTCTCTATATGAGAGAGCCCAGTGTACCATGTGCCTTGTACAGTGGCATGGGTAAACCCTCATTACAGGTAGAGGCATTCTGCTTGGTACATTTACTGCATTTGCTTTGTTCATGATGGTGTCACAACAGCACATATGGATTATGTAGTCAATTAATGTATTTGGTTTTCTTAAGTCACTATCTTTTTCAAACAAGTTCTTCGTTTATAGCAGATTCCTGCAGCGAATGCCCAATTGAAGATTTGAGATTTACTTTCCACTTGTGTTCCTCCAGTCTGTGGTTAACTAGTTTTGGCATAATACTCCAGTTCTAGGCTGTATTATAAAGTTAGCTGATGATACAAGACTGTAAATTACCAGCAGGGATGTATCTGCTGCTTGTGCTGAGTTATTAAAGAAGATAATAAAATAGATCTAAAGGCAAGACTCTCAAACAGATATCCTTTTCATATAACATGTGGCTTTCACTTTCTCTTTTGCCCATCTAGTGCTACTACTTTATTTTCTAGTTTAAATAATTTTCTATCTGGTACAGTAGGAAGCTGAGCTATTTAGCCTCTACGTTTGGCAATTCTTTTGTATTTTATCCCATTTACCTCCAGGTATGTATTTCCTTCAAATTATATCCTGAAATCGTGCATCCTAACTAGTCTGGATTATTTTTTTTCCCCTGAATAAACCTGTCTCACTTCCACTTTAAACAAAATTATTAGTAAAAATTTCTAGTCATATATTTTGATTCTACCATCTTGTATTTAATCCCTCGAATCAATAGATTGCTTTGAGTTTTGCTCTGTTTGATGAAGTATCTATATATTCAGTATTCCCCCTTAGATACCTCAGTGTTTGTCACTCTTCTTTCTGAAAGCAAAAATCCTCATTTTTGTCTTATTTTAGGTGTTGTCTTCTCTACCTTTCCTCTCCACAGAGCTGAAGAGTTTTGTGGCTTGATACACCCGTGGAATTTAATTTAACTTGACTTTTGGTAACTTACTGGGTTTTGGGTTTGGTTTTTATGGTTAAGAGTAATTGTATTTGCAGACCACTTCTATTTTCGCAAGCTGTGCTGATATGAACTACTTGTCTAGTTTGGCCTGAAGTCTTTTCCTACAAGTTATTTCCTGTTTGATAGCTTTTGCACCTCTTAGATTTGCTCATCTGTAAGTTAAAGAAATTAAAATCCTGCTTGTTGCTCAAAACCCTAATTGTCTGAGTCCAGTGGATTTTAAGTAGATTTCTTTTTTGTCAAAAAAAGTAGATTTCTTGTTTGTCAAAGTTTGTCCTCTTGGAATTCTTTTCCAAAAACTGATCAAAGATTAGTATTGAAATTCAACTGAAAAAACAAGGAGGTATTTAATGTTCTTAATTTGCCACCAGGAGGTAATTTCCAGCAATGCATATTTGTAATAACATCGAGTTTCTCTCCATAGCCAAATGTGACCCTCAGATCAACTACGGGTAACCAAATAAACTTTTTTTTTCTCCTTTCTTCATGACATTAGAATTTATTGTTTACCCTGGCTAAGCTTGCAGATGTACAAATGCCTTGCAGTTCCCTAAACTTCTTTAACAGCAGAATAACCTGCAAATTTGGCTGTTAATAATTCAAAAGTGTCACATAGTGGCATAAAGTGGCAATGTTGCGTCACTGGTTCGACTTAATGTTTTAAGTAATCCTCCGTGTAGGGCTTTTATACTCTGTTTAGAGTTGCAAAGTGCTCTGAGTACTCAATTGTAGTATTAGTTAACTTCCTCAAAAAGAGTTCTTAAACAGAGAAAATAACATTTGTATAGCCAGCTTCTTGATTTGAAATGAGTTGTGTTGAGTGCTGACCAGCAGTTCCTTGAATCTTTATCAAAAGTGTTTACTTTTCACTTGGCATGTTAACTTCCTGTTTCCGTGTGGGATTTTTTGGTTGTTTTATTATGGTGTAATTTCTCAAAGAATGCAGGTACTAGATACAATTGCACAGGCTTGTCAGCAGGTCTTGTGCAGACACCCAGAAAGATTTTTGTGGTTGAACTCATCTGAGATGTTAGAATGGAAGAACTTTTTTAAACATAAGGTATGATATGTGCTCCTGCATCTCATTCCAGGTTTTGTGGCTTTGCAGCTTCCTGCTCTAAAGGTAGCTCCTGTGGTACAGCTAATCCCCAGTTATGTGGAATTTATCCTTTCGATCTGATCAGTGTTCATGAAACCAATATTTTAGCTGAAATAACTATGTTTAAATGCGAATCAAGTGACAATTATGGGTTGTGTGTATTATCCTTTCCAAATTTATGCTATACTGCTTAAAGAAGTTTAGCAGAAGTGGTGCTATGAGACCCGACAGTCCTTAGCTCTGCATGCTACACATTTGACCCCTTTTCTGAGACAGTGTAGTTTGACTATATTGTCTGATACGCTGTAATGAAATTGGCTCAGCCAGCCTTGTCAACTAATAATAAGCCTGGACTTCTGGGTGGGTTAAAGGTTTCTACAAGCATTGTAAAAGCTCTGGATGTAAAATGTAACTGGTCAGAAGGCTTTATCCTCTGTGCACAATGACCCTAGGTTGGACATGAGCAAACTCTTCAAGATCAGCTTTGCTCCGGGGAGTATCTGACTGGAGTTCTGCCAGTGCTTCAGGCTGCTGGTAGCTGTTAGACCACAGATGATTGAGTTCCACCTCAACCCCACTGGTTCTTCCAGCTGCTCTCAGCTTTTTGCTTACACTAGCATTTCTATGGCTGTATTGTTAATTGGATCAGAAACAGATATGGATTAAAAACTGCTGCAGTTTTTTTTGTGTTGGGTGTTGGTTTTTTGTTTGTTTAGGTTTTTTTTTGATTTTGTTGTTTGAAACTGCAGTTCTCTTTTAGCAATTATTTTTTAGATTGGATACTTTAAAGATTGTGGTTTATGTTTTCTGAGAGCTGGTGGGTGCACATGGCATTAGGGATTAAACCAGTAGTTTTAGAAGCAGTGATTTGATACCACGAGATTAGTTCTGAGTTTAGTGTTCTGAATGCTACTTCCTTCCAGTGTACAATTTTATCTTTTCTTGCTCTGTAGGAAAAGGTAATCATGGGCAGAACTGATGTGTAATGGTTCTTTCTGGGACTATACTGAAGGCTGATTCACAGAAGTGGAGGAAAAACCATTCGTCTGTCTTCCTCCTCTGGTTCAGCAAAATTTAGTCAAATTCTAATGCAGGTCACTGCTGAGAGCTCAGGAACTGTTATCGTTTCAACTTAATCTTATTTGACAGCATCATCATCAGCTAAGTTACCTTCTGTAAAGGAGTCACTCACTGGTCCAGTGAATCTTTACTTTTCAATTTAGTAATGATATACATTTTTCTCCTTATAGAAGTAGACATAAAACTAATAGTAAACCTCAAACGCTCAAAAATCTATTATCTACACATAGCTTTGGCTATAGGAATATGTTTGCAGCTATTTAAATACTGTATTATCTTTGAGTTGCAGAAAGACAATGGGACCACTGGCATGCTGACAGAAAACGTGCTTCTCCAAGAAATTGAAGGGCAGAATCAAGAACTGTCAGCTTTTTCTCAAGCAGTTACGAAGTAAGAAATTACTGAACACAAACTAGCTTTCAGAATGAAAAAAAAAAAAAGCTAAGTAACTAATTTTTGATTAGGTTGACAGGGCCAGTGCTACATTTTTTGCTTGATAGGGCAGATTTCAGTATGTGTCCTTTTTCCTTTTCTTATCCCTGTTTTTCCTGGTTTTGTCTTGGTTTTTCAAGAATGCAACAGAATTGTTGAGGTGCTCAGTACTAAGTTTTTGGATTATCATATCTCCTCTTTGTTCTTTTGATCCTGTGACTTTCCTTGTTTTTATAGTACTTTTTTTAACCTCAAACTAGTTTTTGCTATTTCCGTATATCTGTATCTCCTTCATCTGGCTCTTTTTAAATACAATTTCTTTTGAAATAATTTGAAGTCTTTTTTTCTTAGTTGATGCACCTCACTAAATCCTGTCACTCATGGGCTTTCTAACTCTTAAATGCTCTCATTTTTATTGCTTCCACAACTGGAATTTTTTAACAAATAAAACCTTCAAACTTGTTCCTGCTTTGATCAGGTGGTTAAGTTTCTTAAAGGACGTACCGAAGAAGATGTGATTTGATAACCCAGAATGCTCCTTCTGTTTTTTTGCTTACTGCCAAATTTATTGAGAGATTATTTTTGCTTTCCTCTCAGAGAAGACAAATTAGGAGTCTTGCCTTTTTTCCTCTCAAGATCAGAATCCAAGAAATAACTGGGGAGATAAAGGTCTTTGAATCTGAAGGATAACAGATCCTTTTTAAAAACAGGAATGTTTATGAAATGAAAAGCAAACTCCGTAAAACCAGTGAGAAGTCATGTACCTGTGAAACTTCCTGATGAACAACATTAAGACAAAGCTCACATAAAACAGGCTTGTTGCAAAAGTTTCTGGTTAAATCTAATTTTGCCCTTTCTTTCAAGACCCAGTGCTTAAAATACTGATGGACTTTTGACTGGACAACTCTTGCTAGAGGGATTCCTTTTTTTTTTTTTTCCTTCCCCATTCATGCTATTGTCAGGAATCAAAATGATGAAATAAATGACCATTATAGATGAGTTCTGTTCTTAATCTCTTATAATACTACATTAATATTGGCAGAAGGTTAAGGTTAAATTATTTTGTCTATGTTAAATAGCAGAAAATAAAAAGTAGCTATCACAGTACTGTCTGTTCATTGCTAGGTGAATATTTTATATTGTTCGTGTCCTAAAAAAAAACTTTTTCCTTTAATTTAGGCCTGTTTCTCAACTTTCATGAGTTGAAGTAACTACTTTCTACATAATATCTTAAGTTCAGATTAGACTTCCAAAAATTAAAACATGTAAAGAATTTTGCGGTGTTTTGTACGTAAAAGAAATTACACCTTTTAAACTTACTTTTAGCAAATGCCATGGATTAGCTTTTTTAAAACTGTTTTAGAGCTTAGTTTCTACAGAAGCTGGATATGTCATGTAAGCATTCACCTATTAAAATTTTTAAGCTGTGTGGAAAAACTGTCTTATTATAAGCTAGATTCACACCCCCACCCCCCCGCCCCAAGTACTACTTGTATAATTATTGTGGGCAGTGTTCTGTTGAAAGTAGAAAAATTAAATGGTGTTTTGTACGTAGAATTTACATAAAGAGCAAAAGGTAGTCTTTACTGTTCTGGCTTGTGGCTATTACCGTGTTATTTTACTTTAGTCTTAGACTTATTCATTGCAATGTTTCATAAACCTTCTCTACTTTCAGATTGAGGACCAAGTTTCCTTATGCTAATCAGCAAACAAACCCAGGCTTTGTGCTGAGTCCAGTCATGCTGCAAAGAAATATAAGTGGGGAGACTGCCAGTATCAAGGTTTCTATAGAAATCGAAGAATTCCAGCAACCAGTAACTTTTACGTGTGATGGTATGTTTCTGCTTTTTAAATTGGAGTTTGCTTGTAAGACTCGAATGGGAGGTTAAGACTGTGTGCTCAGTCTGGGCCAATGGCTTTCAGTTTTTGTAATCCCTGGGTCTCAGATGCATGGATCGCTTGTGGGAACTTGGGAAAGGTAACTGAAGAAAGAACCTAAGCCTGAGTCAGTGCCTCCATCATAAAATATTTAGAAGCTGACAAAATTAACCGTGCTTTTAAAAGGGAAAACCGAGTGAACCGGAAGTGCTGTTCTATCCATAGAGGGAATGTTAAAAGAGTTTTTCAAGGGTTTGACCTCCTTTATGGTGATTGAGGGGACGATGACACCAAGACTGAAATTCTTAACTTTAATTTAAACTTTTTATTTCAGCACTCTAACAGATGTTTAAATAAATTCTTGCAGGCTATCTAAATATTTAGACAAATTGCTGTTGGGAAATAAGAGTAACTACTGAAATTATCTATCACTTGACTTCAATATATGCTTATGAACACACACTAAAATAATACTGTCACAGTGTGCTACAACTAGCTGGCCTGTTTTTATGGGTAACCAGGAGTATTAATTTGGGGTGTAACTTTAGGTTTAACTTGTTCTTGTACATAAATTCATATTGTCTGTGCAGTCAAGACTACACAGCGTGTTTGGACTAAAGGCTGCAATTCTGGATTCTGTCAACTTCTGGCAGTTCTTGGTGATAATATAACTGAGCAACTTAGTTTTTAGCCTCTATGCTGCTGTAGTCTCAGCCCTTGTGAGAGTTCCCATTCCCAGCACCTGGTAGTGAATCTGTGGTATGTTGTTTTTTTTATTTGGTTCTCTATTTGTAACAGTATAGATGTTAGAGGTGTGTTTTCTCAAAAGATATGAAGTTGCTTGGAAAACAAGCTCTCAATGCGTGTTTTCATTCAGTAGTAATTTGCTGGGTCTTGTTATTTTGCTGTGATTTAATACTCTCTTGTTAAGAAATGAGGTGGACTGCAAGTATAGCCTAGGAAGGGTTTCTGCTCTTCATCCTTAAGATTAAACTTTCCTAATACTACAGGCTTAATCCTTGCCTACAAAACGCTTTAGTAGTGTAATTAAAACGTTATGCCACAAAAGGCTTTAGTAGCGTAACTAAAATCTTATGGCTTCAGTCCTTTATTTCTAGAAGCTTTGTGAATACCTTGGAATTTGTTTAGCATTCTAGCCCCACATGTCTTATTCTTCACACTTTCTGCTCGCTTCCTCATTCCTGATACTGAAGCTAATCACAGTTAAACTACTTGTCTTCTGTAGCTAGTGAAAGATAGGTATCTGTAGCTCATACTGTGACTAGTGGTAGGTGTATTTATAGTTCTTCTCTTCCTTTTAATTCCATCTGTTCTTGGTGAAATTGTTTAATACCTTAGCATCCTAATGCTGGAACTACTTCAGTATAGCTTTCAGTCCTGCTCAGAAGGAACTTCAGCCTTTCAGTGTTGTGATGACTCAATGTGTAGAAAGGACCCAGGAGGGAAACATGAACTTTAGAGCTTACTTGGGTATACCTATTTGTTTTGAATTGGTTTATTAGACTTTAAGTGGAAGTACTTGAGCAGTCATTGCGTGCCAGGAAGAAATGAATGTCTTTCACTAAGACAGAGGGTGGGGAAAAGGTGGTAACATTATCTTTGTGTTGCTCCACTAGACTTTGCAGGGCTCACAGACCTTTGCCAATGCAGCCTGGGACCATAGCCCATTAACTGTTACTGTGTGGGGGTTTTTTTTGCCTCTATCAAACACCGTATTCTCTGCTGATGATAGTACAGCAGTTTTGCTCTAGATTAATAAGTTCAATTACCTTAACAATGAGTTAAATAGTGTTTCTGAATTCATATTTATTGTTCCTTGTTCTTGAATTCAATATGCTCATTCTTCATATGCTATCAAATACCTCCGTGCTTCTAATAATTACTTGTCTGTTAATGAGATGAAGCACTTGCATTTATCTTGTGGAAGATATTGTTGTGGCATTACCTCTCTGTATCCACTGTAGTAGTAATGTTTCTTAAGAAAAAGAAGATTCAGGAAAATTTAGGAAAGTCCCTGGAGGGCAAAAAAACCCCACTTGATGAAAAAATAAAATGTTTTTATATAGTGTTTTTTACAGAATTTTGAGGCACTTAGTGACACTGTATGCAAATGTTCTAAAGGAGAAGATCAGAAAATAGGGAGGTGTAGAGAGCATTTTGTAGTTGAAACATTTGTGGTAAAACATTACAGGCTATTTTTCTTGGGGCTGTTCAGCCTGGAGAAGAGGAGGCTCCGGGGTGACCTTATAGCGGTCTTCCAGTACCTCAAGGGGGCCTACAGGAAAGATGGGGAGAGGCTGTTCAGGAGGGCCAGTTATGATAGGACAAGGGGTAACGGTTTTAAAATAGAGGGAGGTAGGTTCAGGTTGGATATTAGGAAAAAATTTTTTACCATGAGAGTGGTAGAACACTGGAACAGGTTGCCCAGAGAGGTGGTGGATGCTCCATCCCTGGAGACGTTCAAGGCCAGGTTGGACAAGGCCCTGAGCAACCTGATCTAGTTGGAGATATCCCTGTTCCTTGCAGGGGGGTTGGACTAGATGACCTTTGAAGGTCCCTTCCAGCCCTAACCATTCTATGATTCTATGATTCTATGCCTATGTATTTTTCCTCGGTGACAGCTGCTGACTGTGGGAGAATGGATTTTAGGTTTTGCTGGAATTATTTCTTTTGCTCTCTAGTTGCTGGATGGAAGAGAGACCTTTTTTTCAAAAAAGCGCTTGGAGCCTGATGTGAAAGTACTGGTAGTTAAGAGTTGCTTTTTGCAAAGGCTTACTTGAGATCTGATCTGTACACTGTGGAAAAGGATTTGTCTCTGCTGCAGCTGATACTTGCTTCCCCAAAACCAGAACAAATAGAGAAGTCCCATCTCCAACTCTTCAGATAACGAATGATTTTTAAACTTTAAGCAGCTCAGGGATCACTTAGCTAATTGAAGTCCTTGCTAAATAAGGCCATTTTACAACTAACAAAAAAGCTATTTCATTTAAAAAAAAAAATCCTGGAAAACAGATTGCAGACTGTTTTTGTACTTTTAGTCAAGTGACTACAGTGTATCCTAATTTAAAGAGGATTTATTGATTTCTTAAACTACATACAGGTATTATAAGATACCTTTCTTTGTGGAAAAAAGCGAAGATCTCAAACTATGAAATTTAGGAGATTGTAGAAGTGTAAGAGTCTTCCCTACAAGTACAAAAATAAATTTCATTAAATAAATACAACTTGTGAGTGCACAATGGTTAATATCACTTGCTGTAGATGTATATTTAACTTTTAGATGTAATCTCTTTAAACAGTGAGTTCCCCTGTTGAGCTTATAATAATGCAGGCGCTTTGCTGGGTGCATGATGACTTGAACGAAGTGGACATTGACAGCTATATCCTGAAAGTCTGTGGCCAAGAAGAAGTTTTACAGAAGTAAGCAAACTCTTTCGTTAATATTAACATCATGCTTTTTCATGACACAGTTACTGGAAAGTATATCTGTAATGATTAAATATGTGAAAGCAGAAATCTTAAATGTAGAAGAGTCACACTTTGCACAAAGATCAAAAGTCTTTGGAGTTGCTCTGGGATACAGCAAAGTAGGTTCTCAACAGCTTCCTAGAAATCTGTTTTCTGTTGTGTTGAAAACAAACAGGTTATTTTCAGATGCAGATTTTTAGAGCATTTCTGTAGATGGATGTTGTAGTTTTCAGCTGCTTTTCAAATCCCAGCAACAAGGGAAAAAAATGTACTTTTATGATTTCTAGTAATCTGAAATAATCTGTTTTTTCTTTCAAAAACTAGTGGTTTACAAATATCCATTAGTTTACTGGGTTAGAATATTTGGTTTCAGTGTTAGCCACAGCAGTGAAGAGCTTTAGCAAAAGCATAGGTGTATGTAATAGGATACTAAAACTTCCACAGAAGTAAAAGGCAGATCAAGAAGTATGATGTGGGGTCGATTCACCGTTTCCTTATTTTGAGCCAACAGGTTGCCTTAAATATTCCATGTGAATTTTTTGAAAAATACCGCATGTTTTTAGTGTAACTATAGCTTTCTTTTGTTTAACAGTAAGCACTGCGTAGGAAGTCATGAATACATTCAGAATTGTCGGAAGTGGGACACAGAAATCAAACTGCAGCTCTTGACCCATAGTGGAATATGCAGAGATCTGGCACGAACAGTAAGTACCTCCTAAAGCGCAGTAGCAATATAAATCTTCAAAAGATTTGGAGTTTGCATCAAAGTAGACAGATCTGAGGTGTAACCATTTTGTATGTTTAACAAATTAGTATGTTTGCTTGGTGGTGGGAGTTATGTTCTCTTATACTAAGAGGAAGTGAAATACATACTGAATTTTCACAAGGTAAATAATATAAATATGGATGATCTCTCTTATTAGACCAAGTACTATAGCAGGAAAAAGCATGCGAGCATTTGGATTAAACTTGAGGCCTGAAAGAGAAGCAGCAAATTTCAGAGTTAAATAAAAGTTAAGAAGTGTTTTTGAGTTTAATTAGATATGCATCAGACCATCAAAGAGGAAGGAAGGAATATTTGATATCTGCATAGCTAGGCACTTGATTGCGGTTTCTTCCCCCTGTCCATTGTGTACACATTTCATTAATTAGTCATTTCTTTGCCCCTTTGAAGAGGTCACCTTGTATCTTCCCCTTCTACTCCACAAGTATTTGTAATGAAACTTCTGAAACAGTATTACAAATTATATAAAGACGAGAACTGGACTTGGTATCTAATATTTCATTGCAGGAAGATGATGACAGAACACCCATACATCTAACCAAACACCTCTACAAAGTAGAAAAGCCTTTCAGAGAACCTATTATAAGGTAATGTTATGTGATTATTTTAGTAATCAAGCCCATTGCTGAATTTCTGGCCAAGGTTATGTTATGCTCTTGCACTTGTGCTCAATAACTATTATTTCTTGCAGGTCTTCCATTGAAGAGCTTCTTGATACGTATCACAAGCAAGTTAACATAGCTCTTAAAAATGAGGTAAGGTCATCATACGTTATTGCTGAACCAAAAGTAGCATGAGAGAGCTTGATAATATTGGACAGTTGGAAAAAAGACTTGCAGATGTTCTTTGGGAAACTGAATCTGAAGAAGCTGTCAAATGTAAACTTGGCATTGGCATCGTGGATTTTTAGGTTGCTTTTCCTCTTTTCTTCCTAGCCTTTCTCGCAAACTTGTTATTACCTAATCATCACAACTAGAAATGTATCTTCCAAGACCTGGGGTGCAAAATAACCTTTTCCTCAAAAATGCTGGAAGAGATTAATTTAGAGAAATAAGGAAAAGATCTGAATCCAAGCTATGTCAGTTGTTGTCAGCCATGAATAATATACTGGTAACATGAAAAAATCCAGACAAAAAAAATCCACACAAAAGTGAGCAGTAATAGTTGCATGCAATGGGAGCTGTAACTGAAGCATGTTTGGAACACAGAAGTAAGTTTTACAAAAAGTGTAATAACGTCTTATTCTGCACTACTGGTTTAATTTAAAATACACTGTCAAAAACATGTTCTATTTCAGTGTGTGATAGGTAGCTTAAAACAGCTTGCATGTGACGTTGTTTGGAGTGATTTCCCAGATGCAAGAGCTAGCTGAAGATTACTTTGCTTTACTTATTTCTAAAAGGAGTAGTTTATTTTAACTCCTGATAGTAGCATAAGTTGGAGACTTAAATTCTTAAACACTAGATAACTATGTTTCCTAAACAGTTTCTGTAAGAACAGTCTTTAAATGACTTAATTACACCACTTTTCATTTCTGCTGTTTGTTTGCCTCTCCAGGAATGCAGGTCTGAACAAGCTGATGTCCACTATTTGCATGTTCCCTTAATGTTGTTTAATTCACTTGATGGTTATTCACCATGTTCTCAAGGGTAGTTTTGCACACAGTCTCTTTGGAGGAGAGTGAGATGTTGCTGCTCCTTGATATGGTGCTGTTTGTGTTGCTTTGCTTCTGCAGCTGCTTCAGCTTGCTTGTTTAACTGCGATTTCACAGGCTGAGGTGAAGAATGCAAAACATCTCAATTCAGACTTGCATTCTACTCTTTCTACAGTCTTTTTGAGGATGGGAGATATAGCTTGTAGGTGATGATGATTAGGTCCAAATATCTGCAGTAGTTGCATTTGAAATATTTTACTTCCTGAAATGAATTCCTGTACATACTCAGTAGCTGAAGCTTGCTAATCAAAGTGAAACAAGGTAAAGTAATCTGTAAATAACTTGTACATAGCTTTTGATATCACATCGTTGGACACTTTAAAAGTTATCTATTGTCTTTTTACTGAGATTAGTTTGAGAGTCTGTGAGGAAAACGGCAGTGGGAACTTTGCTTTTCGTGGGTCAAAACAGCTGTTACTTTCAAAGCTAACACTTGGAAGACATGGCTTAAATATTTACAATCTCTTCCAACTTCATGGTTACTTTATTACCAGAACAAAGTTAATTGTTGCCAGGTAACTCCCAATCCAAAACCTTTTCTATGCAAATGGTTCTTTGCTATGCATTTGTAGGACGGTCATGAGAGTATGTCTGGGGGAGGAGTGGGGATGGGAAATCAGTTTGTCTTACCAGGAGGATATTGCACTAATCTCTCTTATTTAGTTGTAAGTGATCGTGAAAGAAACCTGTACATTAAGCCTTTAAACAGCAAACAGTTATTTTGAAGCAAATATTTTCATTTTCTGCATGTGTTCTTTAAAATTGGATTAAGACTTTGCTTATATTAAAAAATAAAAACCAAGAAACCTGGGATAATTTAGATTTAAATTAATTTAGATTTAAATTAAGTGGCTTTTCTTCTATTTGAAGGGAAGAAGGATGGGAATACTAGGAGCATTTTGACTTTGTCTTAAGCAGCCTACTAGCATTTTCAGTCTCTGATAAGAAGCTGATCTATTCCTTTCAAGAAAGATTGCTGTTGAGTGTGCCGTCTCCCTTCCTTTCCTTCTCCAAGATGACAGTTTGCAATTGCTTCATCTGGAAGAACCATTTAAATTAAATAACATGCAAGGCAAAAGTTGCAACAAACTTTTTTCAGAAGTATATTAAAGTGAAGTAAAAAAGATAATGTTCCATTATGGAAGCTATGCCGTAGTGTAAGTGTAATTTGAACCTCTGTTTTAAGAGGGCTGAAATTGAAACGCTGCTTCTTTAGCATTCCTTCCTTCCTCACACTAATTGAATATCATTTTAAAAACTACACTTTCTTTTTATGCCATGAGGGAATTTGAGCTTAATATCTTACTAGAAAATACTTGTCTGCCTACAGCTTAGGTAGAAAACCTATGGTTGGAAACCACCTAACGTTTCCTGAGACACCGTTCTAGAATCCATACTACTCCTATGTTTTTGGCGTTGATAACTGAGCTATAAGGAAGTTCTCAATACTGAGGTTTTTGCTTATTCAAATCACACCACAATTTAATATAATTGAGATATTCATCTCATAATGAAATTTTCTTGGCAATTAATTCCGAAAAAGTTTTTTAAAAAAACAGTACTGGGTTTCACATTTGTAATCAGATCAATCTGTTCTCTCATACGTTCCTTATTAGAACCAGCATAAAGCAGTAGATCACGTAATTAAGACTGTCAGAAAAATCTGTTCTACACTGGATTGCGTAGAGACTTCTGCAATAACGGAATCGGTAAAGAAGCTACGGAGGGCTGTTAATCTTCCAAGGACTAAAAATGCTGAGGTAAACTTTCACAACATAAATTGCATTCTAAGGTATGCTTTTAACATAGATAAAAACTATTTCATAATCTTTGGTAGTTGCAAGTACCAGTAGCAGTTCAGTCAGGGTTATGTTGTTTGTGTGGGTTTTTTTACCTGATATCTTTCATTTATTTTAACATCTCTTTGCTGTGAATACATTAATCGTTTGCTCTTGAAATCCTTTCCTGTTTTTAAATAGTGACTTTTTAAAAACTGGGTTTAAAATACCATTTTCTGGCACTATAACTACAGACTTGTGTCACAGTGGTTGCTACTAAATCTGTCCAAAGGAAAATGACAGCTAGCTCATGCTCTTTAAAATCAGTGCAGTTATACTTAAAGGAGGAATTCGCATCTTGTATTTTCTGTGCAGTATTTATTGTGAATAGCAGTAGCATCTTAAAAATCTTAACAGTTCATGCTCCTGCATTTCTGACCATGTGAACAAAAATAAAATCTCTCTCAAATAGCACAGATTTTGATGATAAAACTGCCTTACAATTAGCAATTCACTTGAGCAGAACTGGTGTCCAGTCACGTTGTCAAAAACAGTCATTAAATGGAGAAGTGTGCAGATAAAAAAAGCTAAAGTCTTGTGATGTTATTTCTGTTGTCTTGCTGCCTTATTAGAGCAGCAATTCATGTGCTGCTCTGTTCACTTTCAGCTTTATCAGTTCAGTGATATATTTGTAATGCTGAGCAGAAGTCTTGCAAAATGCACAGACCAAATAAATATAGTTGTTACAAGAACTAAAATTCTTGTGGAGAATTCATAGAATCATAGAATGGCTTAGGTTGGAAGGGACCTTAGAGATCATCTAATCCAACCTCCCTGTCATGGGCAGGGATGCCTCTCAACTAGATCAGGCTACTCAAGGCTCCGTCCAACCTGGCCTTGAACACCTCCAGGGAGGGGACATCCACAACTTCTCTGGGCAATTTACTCCAAAGTCTCACCACCCTCATACTGAAGAATTTCTTCCTAAAATCTAATCTAAATCTGTTCTCCTTCAACTTAAACCCATTTCCCCTTGTCCTATTGTCACAGCTGGAAGGCTTCAGGCGGCTCCAAGCAGACCAATGTTCTAATGCAAAGGCTTTAGGCTCTACTCTAAGGAAGGCCCACACTCCTCCAAGGCTCAGGAGGAAATGCCTTGCCCTTAGGAGTAAAAGCCCTGCCTTAAATAGTCAGGAGTCACATGGTTTGCTAGATGGGTCAAGGCTATTGGTCACTTGACCATCCATCTCCCAGAGTGATTGGCTGAATGCTACAGCACCTGTTTCAAGGTAACTTTCCCAGTGTAACGAGCTACAGGTGTTTCTTAGCCTG